CTCCACGGCAATGAAGAGGCTCCGAATATTTCAGGTCGGCAGATTTCCCGACGGCTCCAGACTTCCTTACCGTTCCCATGAGTACCCTACTCGAGTACACTACCGCACTAGACTTGACTACCGTATGGTGCCGGACAACCAAAACCAGCCCACCCATCCCAAGCTTTTGGAAAATCTGGACATATAGAGTTATTAATATTTGAGAAAAAACTTTAAAAATAATTCCTCTGGTAATTTTGTAAAGGAACCCTCTTAAAAGTATTTAATGATTTCTATATAATTTTTATCTTATAGATGAATTCAAAATCAATGACTGGAATCGTGTTGCAAGGGGCTATTTTATAAGGATGTGCAACATCTTGAACTTTGAGCAAAACCACCACAACAACCTCCTGAAGGACTATAAGTGAAAACAACAACCATATATCTATTCTAATTCATTATTTAAACAACTTTACCAGAGGGATTTCCAGCATACCTGCTGAAAGAGAGGCTATTTCCAATTTAGAAATTTTACATCAAGTTGGCCAAGTGGGCTGGTTTTGGTTGTCCGGCACTATACCGTAGACCATCTACCAGTTGTGCCCGTAGGGTACTCGAGTACCGGTACCTTAACTTGCACATTCCCACCCATGGTCCCAAACAGGATATCGTACTTGTACCTACCGTATACGGTACTACAGTAGTACAGTATCAGTTTAGCATTTTTCCTTTCCTTTCCTTTACTTTTCCTTTATACATGTAAAACAACAATAATAACAATGCCGGTACTGATTGATGCAAAACTCTGGTCGTCGCCAATGCTAGCACCCCGCCCCGAACGGTACCGTACCGTACTGTATCATACGAGCATTGTAAGTCAGCGCATAACCCGACACCCGGATATTAAATTTCGAAATTGCACTCCCCCCTCGTATCAGGGGTGAGAGAGATGGGGGAGATCTGTACGAGTACTAACACTGTATTATTGCATCGAGAATGAATCTGTGGGTTCCTCTTGCAACTTTTTTTTTTCTTTCTTTCTTTTTTCTCTTTCTCGGTTCGTGCTTGGGGAGAGAGTACCGTACAGTACTAGTACAGGACAGTGATAAATTGTCGGTAAATTTATGTATTGTAGGGATCCCTTTTTTTTTTAGTTTTCTTGCTCGCTTGTTTTTGGATTTAATTTATGTAGGCTATGGTGCTGGTGCTAGTGATGGTTAAAAGTTACTCGTATCGGACAGTACCCGGTACCGTTGAAGGACAAGGAACGACACGGGTATCATACCGTAGAGTATTGTACTAGTACATGTACCTAGCCTCACCGGGATACGCTATAAAAGGTTAGATCCAGCATTCGAGACATTGTAGATTGTGGCGAAAACCCGGCCTCATGATGCCGTACGGTAGTCTTGTAATTCACCAGGTGGCCGCGAGTTGAATTCGGAGGATGTGGATACCGGTATTGCCAAGGAAAAGTGTGATACGGTACGGTACGATACCGGTAGCTAGGCTAAAGTCCTACAGTATTTAGCGCCCTTAGCACGAGCACCAGCGCTGTGCTACTGTACGATATCATACTACAATACTACCGGTACCGAACAGTGCTATCCACGGTTTTTTAAAAAGATGATTTCTGGCTGACGAGTTAATTAGTCTAATGCGGGGAGTCGCATATGGCTATGATGTTGCATTAGTACTCGAGTACCTGTACGACATTAATCAATGGTACGATAACGCTATTGTCGTTTCGGATAGTTGTATGTACTACAAGTAGTGCACTACGGTCACCGTATTTGAGATGCACCAAGGTGACTGATGGACGAGCACTGTACTAGTACTGTACTCGAGTAAACCGTACGGGTGCATGCACAAAAGTTCACGATTGACGTCATAAAGATCCTAATACCCATGCATCCATCCGTTTCTTTCTTCCTTCAAAAAAAAAAATTTATCATCGAGAGCGCGTAATAATTTTCCAAAGTGTGCTATAATATAATAATTATATTTTTAGGATTTCGATATTATTTTTATTTTTTTGGATTTCCCCCCCACCCCCCCCCCTCCCTCTCGTCATCATGCGGGGATCCGGAGATCTATCTGAACTGATCTCTGCGCTGGTACGGTACGATACCAAAGATATCATAAATAAATAAATAAATAAATGAATAAAAACCGTTCCAGTACAGTATTATATATGCCAAGCTTGCACGAAAGGGCAATGCACCTTACGAGCACTCCAAGTACTCGTACGCCAAGTCCCCGCTGGGTTTTTTGAGTACGGTGCTGTACGGTACCACAATACGACCTATGTGGCTGAAGTGAACCAGAGTTTGTACGTGTAATATCTCACGGTATGATAACCTTTATGTACTCGAGTACTGTACCCGCCCCCGTACGATACCCGCAAACCGTGCTCCTGCCATTCACTCGCCCGCGACAACTTAGCGGGCAGAGGATGAGGCCATGACAATGATGGCATTAGTCTATCCTTCCTGCCTATGATCCTTGTACTATCATACCTACCTGCACCCCTCCGCATACAGTACTCGTACAAGAGCGGGGCGGGCAAACCATGATAGAGAGAGGGAATTATTGATAATCGCGGGGGAATTTCCGTTTTTGCCACTTTTACGCGTGGCTATAGTACTTGTATTAGTAAAGCGTCTTTGAAATGTTTTTTTTGTTTGGCGTCCGATTGTTACTCGGTGGTCTACGGAGGTACAGCACCTAAGTTTTGTATGTTCTACGAGCAAGGGGTGCTCGGCTAGCGAGGGTATTGGCGAGGAATTGGGCAATTTCCAGTGAAAATTTCCTAATCTGTGCTCAAGCTTTCCCAATTCATGTTAAGTACCCACTGCCAGCCGAACACCCTTGCTTGTGGAACATACAAAACTTAAGAGCTGTACCTCCGTAGTGTGGATGTTTTGCCGCCATGATTGATTGCTGATGTCAGGCCGTCACATGAAGTTCCTCGGATCTGCTAGTCTATTCTATTTACTGTGTGGTTGGTACCGTAAGCAAGAGGGAGGAGGTTGGTTATTCCTGGTCCTTGCTTCTATCTATTTATTCGCTCTGTTTGTCTGCGTGATATGGGACGGACTGTCTATACTGGATGAACCAGGTGTCTAGGGCATGACGGGCAGAGTGGTGAACTTGTCATCATGCCTTGCCCCGCGATGGGCAAATACTCCAGTGGATGGATAAATAGATAGAATGGGTGATGGCATTACCGGTATTTAATTAATTTGGGTACGGTACTCGTATCTAATCCATAATTTGTATCGGTATCTACACGATGGCGGGGGTGTGTGCATTCCACGAACGCCCAACTTTATATTATTATAAAGCGGGTGATATATAAAAAAAAACATCGAGACAAAAAAAACCAGGACTCGTTTCCACCCCGGCATAAAACAGCCGGTATTATATAAAAAAACACACTGTTTCCGGGAAAAAGTCTGCAAGTAAATTGCCCCCGATTCGAGCATTATTGTCCGGGCAAGTTCAAAAAAATAGAACGAGCTAATTATAGAATTGCCCGATGCGCGGTATTTGGTGTGTTTTTCCCACCCCCGGCTCAGGTTTTGGTCTTGCCAGTTGTTATTTGCGGTTGTGGTGTCACGCCACGGAGCTATTTTGGGACCTGTTCCTGTTGGGGTCGGGCTTCTTGGCGGGTCTGCCTACTCGAGTACCGGATCGTACACACAGCAGGAAGGTGGTGTGTGCGAGCACCTTGCTAGCACTGTACCTTGCGTGGGCAGCTAGGAAGGATGATTAGCCAATGGATCGATCCAGACGTAGGGTTTCTGGAATTGCGAGCCGGAGGGGAGGGGAGGAGGGTCTAAGTAGTCGTCGTCGTCGTCGTCGTCGTGGTATCATAGTTGGAGATGGTCCTTCTGCCTTGTTCTCGTGGGAGCCCTAGAGGTGTGGCGGTGTTTCGTGTTGCGGGGTGGGTGCACTGGGACCCGCACTGTTTGGCTGGAAGGAATGAAGGAATGATCGTGTGAGCTTCAACTGCTACGGTACGAGCACTACCGTCAGCCCAGCACTCGCCAGTCCGGAGGGGAGTGGGTGGACTGGATGTGATGGTAATTTCCTTCGGTTGTGTGACGTGCGAGGGAAGGGACCTGGGATTCACCCTTTTTGGGTGGGGTTGTCACACAATTGGGGGTTGATTGGACCAGGGGAGCTTGTTGGTGCAAGGATTGGTGATTGTCACTCTCTCCCCTCGCCGCCCGATCGGGTGAGGGGGAGGTCCTAAATTGGAATAGCCTTTCTTAGTTTAGCGAGAGGGAAGGATGAGGGGATTGGCAGTGCTCGAGTTCTCGTGCTGTACTTGTACCGTACTGTACTAGTGCCTGGTGATTCCGCTATCATGCTCGTCCTGATTGGTACGAGGCCTGAATTAACCACTCCCCTTGCCAAGGATTGACTGGCCCTCGCTCGCTTCGGTCTGCAGCCGCTGCCGGCGCTTCTGACATCCTTGTCCCTGATTGGAGGAGCCGCCACCTGCAAATCATCCATCTCGCACGGCCATTGGCTGACATGGATACATCCCTCCCTTCCCCATTCGTTGGATTTGCTTTTGTTTCCTCACTCGTGCGTGTGCGTGTGTGCGGTGTGTGTGCCAGTGTGTGTGTAAGAGTACGTTACCGGTACCCGTATGTCCTGTTCTTGCATTCTCACCTGAGGGGCTGGGTTGGTTGGTTGGTGATGATGATACCGGCACTGGATCGTCGCTGGCCGTTTTCCATTCTGTCTACGAGTACCGTACTGTACGGGATCGGAGAGAGAACTCGAGTGAGAGGGTCAAGCGTCACATCCAAGAGCCATCCAGAGAACTTGGCTTTTCTGTTGCGGGTCGCGGGTTCTTTCTTTCTTTCTTTCTTTCTTTCTTTCTTGCGGTACTTGCGGTACCCCCCCAACCCCACCCGCACTCGGCATCTCTACTGTAGAGAACGACCACCGCATCCATCGACCCTTCCCTCACTCACCTCTTTCCCTTTTCTTTCAACTCTGCTCCCTCCCTCACATCTATTACCGCTATTCGTGTTCCTACGAGGATACCCCCCGCCCTTCTTTCCATTGGCTGAGGGCTGTTGATATTATTAAATACCTGTGTCTTTCCGTCTTTTCCTGCGTTCGGCCCTGCGTGTCCGAGATTCATCCGTCGTTCCTCACTTACCGTATCCTCTTTTAATTGGAAAGGGAAGAAAAAAAAAAAAAACAACGAGATAGAGAGAGCAAGGGCTCCTGTTGATCTTTTCTGATGTGCGTGCCCCGGCAGCATCGACAATGTGAGTCTAACTCAAGTTCTTGAATTCCCGTTTTCTAGATTTTTTTCCCGTTTCTTTATCCACCCCTCTGTCTGTTGGTTGGTTCTCCCGCCGCCGCCTCCTACACCACCCCCCCCCCCCCCTTCCCCTTCATCCCTATCCCTCCAATCCTACCAACATATTTGATCACCGTTTCCGCCCGCTTGCATCTCTTCCCTTTTCCGCTCTGCCCTTCACGCTTTGTTCTATACTTATCCTCCTCCTTCCTCTCTTCTTTTCTCTCCCTCCCTCCCTCCTCCTCCCCCTCTTCCCTCCGCTCCACCTTCCCTCCTCCCCCAACTTCTTTACTTCGGTGGCCAGGCATACATTCCTTTAATATTCCCTTATCCCGAACGAGACTTTTTACTGGAGCTGTGCTCGTAGCGTCTCGCAATTATTAAATCTTTCTAATAAATTCCCCCCGTCGACAGAAGCTAGCCCCTAGAACGGAAGCCCCCAAAACACGCTTGTCCCGGACCCTTTTCACGCTTATCATTAGTAATAATTCCTCACCACGCCCGGTGACCCTCCGCTGCTCCGCCGCCCTGAACGGCCGAAAAAAGGATTTTTTTGCGTTGGAAGGGAACAAAAAGCAAAAAGAGGCAAGAAAAAGACACCATGTCTTCCTCATCCGTCAGCCAATACAAACCCCCATCCTACTCAGCCGTGGATGGGAATGGCTTATCGCAGCACGGGGCACAACACCAGCAAGCCCAGCAATCGTCGGAGCCAGAGGACTTTTATCGACCCGATTCCCAACCAAGAGTGAATACGGTGAATACCGATCCAGCCCCCGACATGGACCATATCTCTCCCATATCCCCGAGTTCCCCTGCGGACTCGCAGGCCCCCATAATGGCATCTACGCGTGAACAACAACTCGAGGATGCTGCGGTTGGCACTGCGAAGGAGTACCCTCCGTCGGCCCACCCTTCGAGGGAGCCAAATCATTTGTCGGTTCCTCCCCCTCACACGACTAGGGAGTACTCGGAGTACCCGAATACCTCGCAGACGGTTTATGCGCCCGTGGATGGCTTCTCGACTTCGATGGGTGCGGTGAACGGGGAGATCGGTGCGGCTCCTGCGCCGACGCCCCGGACGCCGAGGACGGTGATGGCGGATGGTGGATACGCTGTGCCGATGACGCCTTTGACGCCCGCTTTGAAGACCCCGACGTTTAAGGAGGAAGCCGAGGTTTCCAAGTATGACGAGAAGGTTCGGAAGTTTGATAAGAGGGATCTGGTCCGTTGCCCCCTTTTTCTCGATCACGGGATATCACTTGGTGTGTCAACCGGATACTGATAAATTTTATAGGCGGTCAAACTGAAGGTTCGCTTGGCTAAGATTTTCCTCCGAGGTATCAACTGTGCCTGCAGTCTCGTCGTTCTCGCCCTTATCGCTTCGACTTTTGCCATCTTCAATGCAACGAAAGCTCTGCCACCTCGCAACAATCTCCCGCCTTGGGCTGCCAACACACCCCAATGGCCGCAAATCACCGTCCTGTGTATAGCTTGCGTGTCGCTGCTAATCTCGTTCTATATCATGTTTGCTTACTGGCGGGGTGGCCACAATCGGGCCGAGAAAGCTGCTGTGTACTGGACCGTCTTCGCCATCGGAACCTTCGTCTTCACCATCGTAATTTGGGCCATCGCAGCGGGCATCATGCAGGGCAGTCGTAACAGTTCCGAAGGGAAGGATTTGTGGGGATGGGCTTGCAAGGACAATACCAGACGGAAGCTTTTCGAGGATGAAGTTAACTATCGTCTCGTTTGTCGTCAACAGGTGATACCGCCCACCTCCTCGCCTCCGCCCTAAGATGCTAACAGGAAACTAGGACTGGGTCCTCGTTTGTGCCATCATCGAAATCTCGGTTGAGTTCATCTCGATCGCCATCTACGCGTTCGCCTTTTACAGAATAGCCTCCAAACGCCGCCTTCGTAAATCCATGGATATCCGCGATAAGGCGCGCAACGACCTATGGCTCGCCAAGCTCCGTGATCAGCAAGCCGAGGAGGCCGCCGCCGCGACAAGGGACCCGGAGACGGATGCAAACACCGCATATAACCAGTTGACCTCCACGACCTCACCCCAGGAGTTGGAAGAAGGCCGAGCAGTTCCAATGCTCATGAGGCCCCCCCCGGGGCACTACGCCACGGCCCCACATAAGGCACCGGAGGCGACCGAAGAGGACGACGCGAAGGGTGCTAATCCCAACCTTACTGTTACTCCTCCGGGTAGTTCAGGGGGGGCGCAAGAACTGGGCGTCGAACCTCCACTACGAAGTCCAGCATTGGCACTCGGTGCGATACCACCGACACCGCGATCTGTGAGCTTCCAGGCGCTGCCACCTGGCTCAAGGGGAAGTAAATAAACGATGATATAAAAAAAGTTGAATTTTTTTTCCCTTTGTTACGCGTTTGGAATTTATCATGGCGGGAGGCAGCTCCTTCGGTGGAAACTGGGGTAGAGTTGTAGGTTCTCTTTGTCAACTTTTTCTTCAACCCCCCTTCTTTTCCTTCACCTTTCGATTTCTTGACGTCAATACATTTGGTCCAGCCTTGTCTTTTTTTCTCTTTTTCTGTTTTATTTTTCTCCTGTCTCGTTCTACATCTTTGTTTCCTATTTGGATTATCTCGGGAAGGTTTACTACCCCCCCCCCCTCTTCACGTTCTGAGCCCCGAGATTTTGTTTTCATTTTTTCTTCCTTTTCTAACGTTCGCGCTCTATTCGGCCGGGGTCTCTATCTGTATTTTGCGGAACTCCAAAGACGAAAAACAACCGCAGATTCTTTTTCCTACCTCCCCTCGGGATGTTTAGAGTTTGTGCGTGCGTTAGGATTGGCGTGGGTGGAATTGGGGCGTGGATGTAGGGCACGGTAACGTTCTTTTATATACCTGTATTTTAATACTCTCTTTTCGATATATCATGGCGGGGAAGGTATGCGGGGATGGGATTTATGGTTGATCGGTTCGTGGGTAGCGGTAGGGATGAGATTGTACAAGTTAAGAATTTATGAGGATTTTAAATTGGGTCTTTTTGTGCGCTTTTATAGATATGGGTAGGTGGTGCATGGCGGAATGGAGGCGGCTGCCGCATGATACGCAGGTTCACGGTGCGGTCGTATCGCAACGTAGTGTACAGTACAGTACACTGCATGACCCTGAGGATAGTACCGTTATTTGAGCGATGCTGGCGGGTCTTGCATTGTTAGCCACCTCAGCCGGCCACCGTGGCTACTGGTGTACCGTGGTACCGCGAGCTGGTTACATCGTTAGCCCAGCGATACTCCTAAAGCGCTCTCAGCCCAATCGCTTCCCTCTCCCCCCCCTTCCTTCTCGCACCGCATGTGCCCTACCCACAAAAGCTTGCTCTCTCGCCTAAGTACGATATGATACCGGTATCAGAATCAAACCCTTCGCCAGCGTAGCATCCACGGAACCATCATGCAAGGACTTGGCGAACGAGGTATGATAAGCCTAGTACCATATCACAGCGGCGCTTTACGGCGCCGCGTGGGTTTTCCCCAACTTATGATAAGCCGTGGCCGTCACGGTATCTCACTCGCGACAAGTGTCATTTCTCCTTTCTCGTTTATGTCGTGGCGATAAATTGATGTGCTATATTATATAATACAGTACATGCATAACCTACCCTACCGTAATGGGGCACGACGGTGCCTACGCTCCGGGAATATTTCTCCCCTCTTTTTAAAATAAAGAATTGGGTTTTTTTCGTAATGGTTTTCTATATCGAGGTCGTTCCCGTTCTGACGGTGAGTTCTGGTCCTTGCTTCGTTTTGTGCGTTTTCTTGTGCTTGAGGGGGCTGGGCGGTACATCTACGGTAGGCACACTTTGTGTGGGGGGGCGTCGGCGCTTTGGTGGGGTGAAGGGAGGAACGGGTGGACGGGAGGAATGGCCGGAGGGGGTTAGTCGTGTGGATTGCATGGATGGATGGTGGGATCGTGGTGAGTCGTTGCATATTTCCCTGGTGGAAGGAGTGTGCTGGAATATGCGTCTGATAGTCTTGCTTTCCCATGGGTGATTTACTCTTTTGTTCTGAGGCGCAGCTGTGAGAAGTAGAATTCATGTTTCGATTTGGTATCTGGTTCTGTGTTTTGCGGAAGGGCTGGCTGTTGAACTAGTTTTCACAGAAAAGGTGCCTTTTTTTATTTTTATTTTTTTCCTGTGATGGCAACGTCCGTTTTTCTGATTGTTTTTTTTTCCTGATATGGCCGGGAAAGGAAACTGTCTAATATGGTGATTTACAGAAAACCAGGTTGCGGGACGTATAGTGAATTGAATGAATTTCTGAGATTGTCAACGTTATTATGTATTATTGTGTAAAGGTGGGGGTAAGATAATTTACAAATTAAGATAATGCAGGAGGACAAGGCATTTGAGCTTTATATCCCAATACTAATAGCTAAAGTAGATAATAAGTTAGGCATTATGGTTATAGGTATAAGAAAAAAATGTGAAACATTTGTTGGAAAAAGTGGTTTGGGGGCTAACCCTCTGCTAGTGGAACTATATTACTAAGAACAGTGTGAGTACTGGCTATATAATCCGGCAGGTGCTACATCTCCCTTTCATTCTCAGACAAGATTTCTTTCAAATACCAACCAGGTAACCACCACCTCTCCAGATACCAACAAATCTATAAAAATCTTACTTGATTTTAATTATCTTATAGAATAACCAATATGAATCCTATTTCACCTCAATCTGACAATTTATTCTCAGATAATATTGTTTTTAAATATAAGGTAAGTACAAACTCTTCAGATATCAACAAACTTACAAAAAACTTACTTGATTCTAATAATCTTATAGGATATCTGATGTACATCCTCTTTCTTATTATTTACATTGGCAAAAAGATGAAAGCAGGTGTAAAGTAGTACTCCTCCTGATCTACCACCTAGCTTCATAGTTCTCCTAGTATACTAGGTTAAGCTTGATTCAATTGATGGAACCAAAATGTGGTATATGTAGATCAAGCTGGATCAAGCTAGACTTGGTACATCAAAAGGACTATGGAGCTGAGTGGTGGACCAGGAGTACTATAAACCTACTTCCACTTTTGTTAAGATAGTTGTTTTATTCTTAAAACATATTTCTTTCAAAGTTTAGGTAACTACAACTTCTGCAAACACTAATAAATCTACAAAATCCTACTTGATTTTTATAGAATTATGGAATAGTACCTCATGCTGATTTGAATTCTCTTTCTAATTAGTCTTATTATTTATTCTCAGACAATTTTTCCTCCAAATACCTGGTAACTCCAATTATTTTGAATACTAATAAATCTCCTAAAATCCTACTTGATTTTAGGGGACCTTATAGGATATCTGATATAAGTCTGCTTTTAGATTAGAAAAACATTTTATCCTCAGAAATTATTTCTTTCATATACTAGGTAACTGCAACCTCTTCAGATATCAACAAACCTATGAGTATCTTTCTTGATTTTAATTCCCTTATAGGCTAACTGGTATGAAACCTATTTCGATCAATCATACTATACCTTTTCAAATAATACTTCTTTCAAATATCAGGTAACTATACCCTCTTCAGATACTAAAAAACTATGAAAAATCCTAGTTAATTTTAATAACATTATAGAACTTGAATAACTACAATGAATCCAATTTCTGACCAATTATACAGGAGTAGGAGAAAGAAAAAGTTACAAAATAGTGTGCATCTTATAAATATAGGTGTTTACAGGAGGTATACCTATTCAGACTATTGCGATCAGGTCTAATCCTACTTAAATTAATCAGAAATATAGCCTGTCATGAGATATTTCTTTACTCCTTTAACAGTGGACCTAAAGTAGAGGATGAAAGACCTTTCTACGTCTCTCAGATGACTGGTCAATCACTACTAAAATAAGTTAAAGAGTCTGAGCTAGAAGTAAGTAGACATTAATAATCTATCATTCAATCTGTTATCTTTTTATTGAATGGTATATAAAAGAGAGTTTAGCTTTGGTGAAGTTATACTAATCAGAGAGTGATATTACTAGGCTTAAACCATGGGCAGATTCAGAGATGGGAGAGTAGGTTGATATAGGTATAGCTCTTAGTCCTACAGATAAAGCAGGTTGTAGGAAGGCTAAAAGTAAGAAGTGAGAAGATATTTCATATCAACTCATACAAGTATAGTAAGTCATAGGATAACTTTATTTCTACTATTTGAAAGCAATAAGCTATTAATAACAAAATTGAGTAGCAGTATTACCAGATTGAATTGTGAGAACTGTTTAAGAATTTAGGATATAATCAGATTTAGGATTGGTTTCTCCAAAATCCAGGATACTATCTATATTGATTCTAACTTCTACAATAGAGTTTTTTATTGGAGAAGCTGGGAATAATAGAGATGTAAGTACTGGGAACCTATGATTAAAATATATCAAGAGTGTTGGTCCTAATATATAGGAAGACTTATAAGAGCTATTTACCTTCCTATATAATATTTCATATATGAACTTACTATAAACTTACTACTAGGAACAATTAACAAACTATAGTGCAATTCAATACAGGCTATTAATAGTCCATTACCTCTAAGATTCTAGAATCATGAAACTATATGTAAGAAGAATATTGAAATTTAGAATTACTGGCTACTTTGAAATGTATGAGTAACTAGCTATAATCTATAACAGATGGTAGGAGCTAACTAGAAAAAATTTTGATCATACAACTTATGGGTAGGAAAAACTCTTTACTTTTCTTACTTTTCTTACATACTCATATACATCAGCAAAAATTTCACTTTGCGTCCCGTGCGTCCCATGCATCTGACGCACGGGACGCCCAAACGCAAACCGTTAATCTGGACGCGACGTCCGCGGGACGTCGCGTCCAGATTTGCCTTCCTCTTGCGCAACCCGTCCTGACCCCACTGGACGTGGATGCCGATGTCCCCTGCGTCCGGAGATTCCACGCTCTCTTCTCCTCCCATCCGGAGATTCCACGCTCTCTTCTCCTCCCATCCGGAGATTCCACCCTTCCCTCTCCTTGCGTCAGGAGATTCTCCTCTTTCTTCTCCTTGCGTCCTGACTATCCCTGTGACCCTTTGCTACTTCCTGCTATCGTCTGATTCTGCTCCGTCCCATCTGACTTTGCCTACCCCCTGGCCTTTGACGTCCCAACCCTACCCGTCACTGGCAGCATTAATCCTGATATTTTAAACGACTCCTCTTAACTCTCGACGTGACGACCCAGCGCTCAAAGATCTGGATTATCTCCCGTCCAAACTGGTGGTCTTGATCTCTGCTAGTACGCTCTGGAGACTTTTGCGCCGACGTCCCTTGCGCCCAGATCTTTCAACTTACGTACTGTTTGCGTCCCCTGGCGCTGGCTTCTTGGCCAGATTCTCCCGCTACCAATCAATCATGATCCGGACCTTCGTGGCTCCTGGTTCTCGCTACCCGATATTTGATGTCACAATACATCGTGGATGTTTCCTCCTCATCCATACCTAACAGACTTATTTGCCTAATCTCGTGGGATTCCCTCTAGTTGACCCTGACGCTTTATGTACAATATTATGCCGTCACGGTGAAATCCCGACTACGTCCCCGTCCCCTCATGCACACTGGCTCCTACTGTGTCTCCGCGCAGTACCTCTTCCGATCGTGATTGCTCCAATCCTCCTTCACCCATAACCTAGTATCGACCTCACGAATTCTGCCCCCGCCTCTCCTCCGTGATAAGCAACTACAATGGGCCACCCGGTCCGGTGGGATCCCTTTCGGCCGCTACTCCGTGTTCCTCAGGTGACTACTCAAGACTAAGCGATAGCTGTCAGGCCGGAGGAGGGCTGCTAACAATCTCCGTCGGTCGACATGTGATGTCCTGGAGGGATCCACCGATTGGATCAGAATCAAGCAACGCCAGCGCCAGGGCAGCGGACATCTGACCGAAACTTGCGGTGACATCGGTGTCCTGCGACTCATTTCGTCTGCCCCGTGGCCTCACTGGGACGAGCATGGGTGAATCAGTCACAGTGTC